AAGGCAGTAACTTTCTTTCATAAACTCTGCGCGCCTGAAAGACTCGTTAACTTAATTATGTGGCGCCACATCTAATTGAATGCATTCTTTATTTAAGTATAGCGTTCGATTAAGTTCTATATGTATTCTTGATTACATCCGTATGCGCGACATTTGCAAATGCATCTATGCGGTGTAACGTTGACATATTGCCGAGTAAACGGATACTATCTAGTGTCGTTAATAACATAATATCGATTTACGTGCGCGATTCTAAATTGCTGTAAAAATTCACTTCCTGAAAATATATATACCTTCTTATTTTTAGATTAAATTTTTAATATGTTAATAATTATTTTATATATTGATTAACTTGTTATTATTTGCTGCATCATTTAATAATCATCAATTCATCAATAACTAAAATTGTACCATGATAAGAATTATAAGAAATTAGATAAAATTAAAAATAAAATAATATAAAAATCCTAAATTTTGTTCTTTTTACTGCTAGATTTCTTTCAGTCTAAATATATGAAAAAGTTATTTTTAAAATTATAACTGAGCACAAATAAAAAACTTACCGTAAAATTTTGTAAAATATATAAATTAAGATTATAAATATATATTCGCATGTATATGCGAATATTTTTGTATTAAACAAAATATTCGTAATCTGAGATTATAATATTAAGATTCAATCAGTTTTGTACAATTTATTAAAATTAATTTAAATATTCATTAGTCATCCTTTAGACATGTATTGCATGTATAATGATATTATAAAATTCACATTTATCAAACAAAAAATTCTTCTGAAAAATCGAAAAAAAAAACACTCTAAATTTACGTGAAACAGATATAGCTTTATTTCTATAATATATCAACATATTCCATGTAATTCGACACATCTGATGTAACTCGCTTTCTCCAAACGATTTTATTACCATCGTTATGTTTATCTCTCAAGGTTCAAGAATTTTTTCAAAAATGTTAAAACAAGATTGAAATCAAATTAAAATAGGAAAAAGACAAAATAACCACACAGCGCTAGGTTTGTACGTATTTTTTTACCAGCTCTGGAAGGCTGACAGATGAGCGGCACATATCGTCGTTTCGCGTACATGAAATGTCCATTTAATTTTCATTCTTTATAATTATGCGCGCGCCTTTTATTATATTCAATTTTTCTTTTATAATTTTATATCGTTCTTGTATGCATTTTTTATTTTGTTTGCGTCCGCGAGATCTCTGTTTATATCGACTTTATTGCGACTTTGATCCATGTTTGTTTTTATAATTTTCATTTAATTTTGAATTTTACCTTTGTTAGACATTGATAATGATCCGAACGGGATCGAAACGTACGTCTGTCATTTTAATTATGCGTCAACTGATTATGATAATATGAAGATGTGTTGACTTATTATATATTAGCGCTGTGGTTTTTTTGCCTTTTTCCTATTTTAATTTGATTGCTATCTTATAACTACTTTTATATTCTTATAAGATTGAATTCATAAGAACAAAATATTGTAATTAAATTTTCATGGATTTATTAAGTAAAAATCTCCGTTTAATTTTATTCTTGTAATACTGATTTAATTAATGCAATACTGATTATTAATATTAATTATTAAGTATTATGCAATTATACAATAATTATAATACATACAATAAATACATTACAATAAATATAATAATTACGTATGTTTTAAAACTTTATTTCCTTTTATAAACTCGTCACATTTTGATAATGAATCGCATATTTAAATAGCTCTTACAATAGATACTTTATTTAAATCGTCACGATCGATACTAAGAAGAATTCCCGAATCTAACCGAATATATAATCTTGATTTGCTAATATATATATATATTATTACGACCGCCGGTTCGATATATGTATTCGCGGCGCGAACTCTCGGCACACGATTTCGCTCGCGCACTCGCACACTCGTAAATGAGAACACGGTTCTAGGAACACTGGCACTTTATTAACAACACAGGAATACAGAACGATAACACGAAACGATATTATAACGGCTCGAAACGTTAATACGTCAGCTCAGCTTGACAGCCGGGCTCGGACTCAAAATGACAGACACTGCTGTCAACAACCTCTTGATGACGGACTTCTTCTCTTTTCAAAACGGACTCGACCGCGACTCGAACCAGGGACGATATATATAAACTTTTAATTATATACTTTTAATTATATTATTAACAATATATATAAACTTTTAATTAAAGTCTTCCACGTCGAAGTGTTCCCATGGCGCGTTCTCATCATCAGTGTTTTCATTGTTGCGCGTCCATATGGAGCCAGCTCGTTAAATACCGAATCCCGAAAAGTAATTGATATTCTAATTTGTTGCCCGAGAGACGCTCGGAAAAGATAATGACCGCCAGTGTGCATAAAACATATAAAAATCAATTTCATTTTTATGGTGATTGATTATAGTAGTAGACTCTCGTTCTAGCTCTACATCATATTGCGCACATTCAAGTCGATTCCCGTGTGATTGAAATTAATTAAATATCGTTTACCGGAGGATTCGTACCGATATGTGTGATCAGTTAACGATACTATCGTAATGTCAGGTTTTGATGGGATACGGTGTTTTATCTCGCGGTATATCGTTGTGTCGCATTAATCTGTTGCTCGTGACATCGAGGTAAAATCGACAAAGCGCGACGATGATGCTCGAAAGGCGGGAAAGCTATACGTGCAGTTATATCTGCGAACACAGCATCCGTGTATCTAGTACCTGCGCTCATCATTCGTCATCGTTTCCTCTCTCGCGAGACCGAAATAACTCGTGTAACACGCTTTCCGCCACTTACTTTCCCTTCAACGATAACAATAACGATGATAGCAAAGACATCTGTCAGAGAGTTATCTACCAGTATCATTCTATCGAATACTGATCGAAAAATGATCCTCAATTCGCGGGTCTAAAATAGAAGATAGGTAAAAAAATGAGAAAAATCAAACTTTCACTCGACAATGTCATGTGTAACTTTGAGACTTGAATTTAACAAAAGCTCTAGATTTCAACTATCCACTTAAGATTAACCATGGATAAAGATATACGCACAGTTCAAGTGAAAAATAAATACGCGTCTTTAAAGTTGTTTAAATTAACTTTAAATTAACCATAAATTAATCTCGAGTACTTCAATATAGGGATATCAAAGGACGACTTTCAATCGCAATGGTCGGACTCAATATCCAGCATATTTCCACGAAAAGGGGTTGAAAATGCTTTAAAATGTTCAAAGTTAAGTAGACGAGTCAGAATCAACACGCAATATCTGAATGCTCTGTAGGAACGAATTATTAACATCTAAGCCGCGCAAAAGCGGGCAATCAGAACACAGGTAAAGGCGCATTCAAGCGTATTCAGACGAGGCCGACTCGGATGAACGGAACGTGCTTTCGCTAGGAATAGACAGAAGCCGAGAGCTACCGTGATAATTAACATATATATTCGTATGGTCGTTAAGCGTGACCGGGTGCACGACTGGCGGAGCCATCGTCAGTTTCGTGAGGAATTAGCATCACAAAGCAGATAGAGAAATAGTTTCCACAGTTGTCTACTGGGGAAGATGCTGTACAAGCGAGTACGGATGCGTTTCACGCGTACGTGCATGCGTGCATCTCGTGCGATATGTTACAGCCTCGTAGAAATGTCTTTTTTTCATATTTCGAAACTCGGTTTACTTTCTTCCTCTTTTCGTACCCTACAGCAAATTGTACTTTTTATTTTCCATCGTCGAGCTTTTCCAACCGTGAATCGACTTCAACAGTCTTATCGACTTTTATTATTATTATTATTTTTTTTTGAAAGCTGTGCGGTTAATGAATTTAAAGTGAAACGATATGCGATTTTTGCTGAAAAATTTAGAATTTTATTTATTGTTATTATATTTTTGTATTGTTATTTTATTAATAATTTTTTACTGTGTGCTTGCACATATGTATGTGATTTATTCATTCCTTTGGATATTTTCCATTAAAATACTTTTAATAAAAGATACAATTTCATATATGTACATGAAATTTTAATTGAAAATATACGCGTGAAATATTTCTCACCATCTTGTAAAATATGAATATGTTATTCATGGAATTTATAATAATCTCTATAAAATTCTTCTTTACTCAAAAATCTAGTTTCGTATTTTACATAGTTTTATAAAACAGTTATTGATATAATTTTTAAGAGATAGCTAATTATTTAATTAATTTAAGATCATCTCATTTCATCATTACACCTCATTTTATCTACAAATTATTTAGTTAAAGCTAAAATAGTAATTTAATTACAGTAATTTAATAATTAATAATATTATATTTAATAATTAATAATATTATAATAATTTGATAACGTATTATATAATCGGACTTGAAGCAGCGCAATATTCGTTAATCTATATGAAAAATTTATTAAAAAACAAAAGATTTATGAATTACATACACAGAGGTAAATAGAGAATTAAATGATGTAATCATTCACTTTTGCAGTTTCTTTGATAGATTATAAAATACCTCCCTTCTATATAGAAATCTAATAATCATAATTACAGGTATGCATTAATCTCATGACAATCGCAATCACATGCGAACGTCAAGTTCGCTTCTTATTCCGATATTGCTTCTTATTGTTTTCCAGTCTATCGATCTTACGTTATTGATTCATATAAAACCTTCGCATATTTTCACATCGGCAGCTTCTCTCAGAAGGTAAACGTGGAAAAGCGTAAAAATTTTTATAACAGACATGAGTATGCACTTTTCTTATCTATCTTCTTCGCGATTATATCAAATTTTGCCTTCACTTGTTTTCCACGTAATCACAGAAATGTTTAGATATGAAGGATTTCTTTCACTCTCACAGCATCTGTAAAAGTACCTTGATAGAATCCAAAACCTGTGGTATGCATGTGACTCATAATTTTGATAGAATCCAAAACCTGTGGTATGCATGTGACGCAAAATCTCCTTTCTTTTACAGAAATTATGGAAGAGCGACAAAGCGATGGAAGTGGTCGGACCAGTGCGAGTAGTTCACCAATATGTCAACATGCCAGAGCAGTCTGCAGAGTTCTATAACGAGACAACGGGCAAATTCGAGGAGGTAAAAAACGCCTGCCATCCATAATATCGCTGTTTGAAAGAAAATTATTATCGATACAATGGCGGGATCTATTCAGGCTTTTTAATAGGTTCACGGTTGCATACCTGCGATGGGCTACAGCTTCGCAGCTGGAACCACCGACGGACCGGGTTCGTTCGCGTTCGAGCAGGGGACAACAACGTCAAATCCTTTCTGGAATACCGTGCGAAACTTTCTTGCCGCCCCAACAAAAGAGGATATTCGCTGCCAGGGCGCGAAACCTATTTTGCTAGCCACTGGACGGGTAAACATCTTTTTTTTTTCATAAAGTGTATTTTTCATTGTAATTCCAAATTCATCATCAGTACAGGGTGTTAAAAAATAACAGGAGTTTTTAAACCTGTATATAAAAAATAATATTAATAATATGAAAAAGTTAGCGTACAGGACATCAAAATAATCCCAAGACATTGATTTTTAATAAATTATATGTTCGATGTGACTCCCATTTGAGTTTAAGCAGAACTCGAATCGTCTTTGAAAGGTTGTAAATATCCTGCCAAGCATCTCGCTATTAGTGGTTTTAATTTCGTTTTTTTATGGCGGTTTGGAGCTTTGTTGGTCTCTTAGAATATATTCGATCCTTTAGAGAAAGCCCCATTAAAAAAAAAAAAAAAAAAAAAAAAAACACAATACATGTTGTTGAAACTTTTTTATTAAACTGAAAACAACACAATCAAGCTTGGATGGTGCAAAGAAAAAATTGCAAAGAAAATTAAACTTAATAGCGATTTTTTAAAAATCGTCACGAAAGCACAATCAGAAAAATTCGAATTCTAATCTTGTTAAAGCGTTGTCGCACGGGAGTTTTTCAGGTTTATATCGGTGTCTTAGAGCGCGAATAGCCGCAGCATAACTAGAGCCATTTTCATAAAAGGATTTGATAAAGCATACCTTTTGATCGTTTGTGAGGTCAGTCATCATAAAAATAAAAATATTCAGCGTAAACACTAATAAACACACGTTTTAGAGATGCAAGGGCGTTGGCAATAAAGCAGTAAGAGGAGAAACTGCTAGCTAAAAACGTTTGAGAGCATGCAAAGTACCTCAGGGTTTTTTTTAACACCCTGTATAATTAACATAATCATAGTATGCGATTAAATATGCGAGATTTCACTTAGATGGTGTCTTGGATGATGTAGATTCTTCTCATATATTGCATCTCGATATTGCATAAGAAGAGAAAAATACAACAATAAGATGCAACATGGATTATCGCGTTTCGATAACGATTCGCGGAAAGAATGGAAATATCAGTATTACTTGTACAGCACGATGTAATTAAACTATTACGTACTGAATCATCGCGCACAATCTCGAATTGTTCTCTTGAATTTCAGATGAAGCTACCCTATCAATGGCAACCGAAAATCGTTTCGACTCAAGTAGCTATAATCGGAAACGTCGTCATCGCCGGAGTGCCTGCTGAATTCACGACAATGTCCGGAAGAAGATTGCGAGAGGTTATCAAGAAAGTCATGAATGATGCGTCCGACGAGGAAACATCTATAATAGTCGCAGGACTCTGCAATACTTACAGCGATTACGTGACAACGCCCGAAGAATATCAAGTAAAATTCCCATTATTATTACCAAAGCATTTGCTCGAGAGTACTTTAGAGATTTCGCACGTGGAATTTCGCGTCGAAATTTGCTACGACGATTTTTTACAATAATCGTAAACTTTTCAATTTCGCGCAGCTCCCTTTTGGTAAACGAAATAAGCAGCGCATAAAATCGTTAGGAAGAAAACTCGATTGATGATTCTTATTGCATTTCAAGTGGCGAACTCATTCCTTCGCGTAACGCATTCTGATACATAATGTATAATACAGTTGTTGAATTATTAACTTTCAGATACAGAGGTATGAAGGCGCATCGACTATATATGGCCCGCATACGCTTACAATCTACTTGAGACAATATCAGGAGCTAGTACAAGCAGCTATTAAAGTGAGTAAATAATATATAATGTATTATATTATGTGAAATATTTGTAGAAATAATTTTAAATTTTCGATTTAAAATCGAAAAAGCATTTCTCTTATCTTAATCTCTTTATAAATTCATATATATATATATATATATATATATATATATATATATATATATACGTGAAAATATAAATATCTGTCTCAAAAGCAATTGAACGAGCAACGTCACGATATTATTACTTATTGGAAAACTATTTTTTACGTTGTCAGAATCGCTATTTGTATTGAATTATGGGATTTATATTGGATGTGCCATATTTCATCAAACTTGGGGTGTTACAGAAAAAATCTATTCCATCGGGACCGCCAGCTTCAAAGTTGCTGCAAAGCAATCTAATTACTCTTGTACCTCCCGTTTTATATGATACTCCAAAATGGGGACGTAACTTTGGCGATGTGATCCAACAACCATCGAAAGTCGCTTCGCCAGGTGACACGATCAAGGCAATCTTCGTGAGTATCTCTTTCACAGATCTCTCTGCGATTTTTATTTCGGAAAACCTAATAAAAATTTTTGCACATAAAATCGCCATCTGTTTTTCGAATAGAAAAATCGATCAGAAACGACTGCGACATGTCTCGCGAATCTGTATCAATGTTATAAAGATATTACGTAGCATGTCATCTAATTGAATTCGGATAGGTTGATAGGTTGCATAAAATGCATACATGCAATTCCACTTTGAAAATGACAGTGCATGTCGTTTCACGAGCCATTGAACGACGGCACGAAATAGACCGATTACTATGCGACCTGCGCGCACTGTTTGTAAATACCACAATAATGAATCTTTAATACAACGTAGCACATTTTGAATCATTCACGTTCGAATAATTAACACCGTTATACAAGGTCGCTCGTTGCGACAATAGGAAAATTTCGCGAACCGTGATAAAGTGAATTAAATTGTGCAAAATATTTTAGCTAGGATTTCAACTTTTTATGCAAATTTAGTGTAAATCGATATTATTGTCGAGAGAATTAAATAATCGTTTTTGAGTATTTTTAGATTGAAGAAATATATCAAAATATTTATCAGGATTCTCTATCAATCACGGAATTTTCCGTGGTTGACAAAAGCCAAACATCTGTTAACAGAATATGATACATGGGACATAAAATTCGAACAAAAGAAAATCATAGAAGATCTATTTTCGTTATATATCCCTCAAAGCTACGACATACTCATATAGCATAACAGAAATTAATGGACACATATCCAGGCGATTTTGTTTCATTACAAATTGATGCAAATTTCTACATAATATTGAAAATATAATTAATTGACAATTCTATACAAAATATTAACAATTATAACATTTATTAGTCAATTAGTTAGTAATTATATATTATGAAAATATATTTGTGCTAAATTAATCAAATTTGTGAAAAGAAAAGAATTATTTCTGTGTTAATGTTTGTACGTTGAAATAAAAATACCACGCGCATTTTTTAACCCATTATATTTTCTTTCGCTTGATGGATGAATGGGAGAATGATTGCCGTGTCTTTCATCTGCGGAAATCGTCATTCGACGTTAATCGTGGCAGATCCGCATTTTTTATCGCGATTGAGTCACGCGATAAAAAGTGACGTGACGTTTTCCCGCGCACTCGCTCGCGTAACTCTCGGAAAATAGGTTGCCTTCGGTGACGCGGTGTGCGAACGGATTAAGTAATCGTAAATTACCTTCTGGCTATAATTTCCGGCGATAGAAGCGCGAGATGCATCGTGAAAGCAGACACAAATGAATCACAGCTCCGTAACTTACGCGAGACTCGCGATTCTTGCGAGGTCAGTTTAGAATTATTCTGCCCTCGGGCTTTATTGATCACTCGAGACAACTTCTCTCACTTTTCAGCATCAGCCACGGTAAATACTTTGAGATTTTATCCCAAATAAAATCGTATATTTTTGCGATGTAGATCTTCTCTTGTTGATCACATATCTGAAACAGAAATAATGAAATAATTGTTTAATTATATATAACATGATAATTCCATTACTTATATTACAGGTTGCCGGTCATCCGCGTAATAATTTAATGACAGATGGCACCTTCTTAACCGTGGAGCGGTTAGAAGACGATGAAGTTTGGTTGCCAATAGTTACAGACGCTGATTGGGAAACCAAGTACGTATATTATCATATTTTTATCGTAAAACTATTCTCATATAATAATAATTATTATTGAGTGTCCTAAATTGAAATAAAAAGCACAATTTTTTTCTAGCTATAAAATCTTGATTCTTTTAACGTAATACATCGTAATCGAATATATGTGTGCTTTTAGATTTCAATGGACGAGAACTTCCGTGATACTAGGATCGAGTCAGGTGACCATTACGTGGGAAGTCCCAGAGGACGTTAAACCGGGCGAATATCGCATCAGGCATAACGGTTACTACCGTTATATTCTTGGTGGCGTGTATCCTTACTATGGTGTCACCAATCATTTTCGAGTAAGTTAACATAAAACATGAAAATATATATGATCTTTTCTTCTTTTTTTCTTCCTCTCATTGTCTCTTTATAATATATATATTAAGATAAGTAACATATTAAATAAGCACATATTAAGATAAACGTTTCTTATTTGCGATGATTGCTTCTACAATTTTATATTTTTATTATAATAAATTTACTGTTGTAAAAATATATTTTTTATTTTTATATATTTTGCGTTAATATCAAATAATTGCGTATTGCATACAAACTTTTTCGTGATGTTTACAGGTGGAAGTTCCTGCATTACAGAAAATCCGTAAACGTTACTATGAATAACAGTTGGGATATCTTTCCGGACTATGTGCTTCCTTAGATAAGGAAATCATTACGCTTAATTTATCAAATCAATTCTGCTGTGTGTATGTAAATAGATATTCTATTTTGATTAAATGGCGAGTGTGAACGAGCGAATATATCTTTTTTAAGATATTGCGTCTCTTTGTATTCAGAACTCATATATAAAATAAAATATGTTCCTGCTTTTTTCAATGCCACGTGATACTATTAGGATTTTTCTATAATGATTAATATGTACTACACACGATACATATGTGAATGATTAATTGTAAGATAGAACTTGAAATTATTCTTGCGAGCTTGAATTACAGAAATAATAGTTATTGTAAAAATATTAACTGTTTTAATAATAAATATATTATTGTGTACATATATAATATTACATTACACCTTCCTGAATTTTATTAAATTTGATTGAATCTTATTTTTCGAACTTTTACATAAGAGAAATTTTGGACAGCATATTCAAAAGGAATTCAAAAGACTGTAAAAATTTAATTCCTTTATCTCTGAAAATGCAGGAATTTAAAACAATTTCAATGTTTGAGTTGATTCAGAAAGTTTGCTGCATGTATATCGTAAAATTTTACTGATGGCTCTTCAAGCTAGAAGAGAACATTTTTTTCATGAAAATTGCCTCTCTCTTATTCAAATTTTAAATATTATTTCAAAAATTATTCATGTTATTTTATACAATAAGGTCATGTTTTATAACATCATTTATATAATATGAACCTATTATATTAATAAAATTGTAAATAAATTACCTTTAATAAAGAAGAACATATCCTACAAACATCAGAAATATTTTATGAGCAATTACAATGGTTATTTTGTTAACAATTGAAGTCAAATTATAGATTGTATTATATATTATAATTCTATTTATTAATTTGGAAATATCATAATAATAAACAATATCATTATCATTACTTGAATGCTTTAAAGCATATTACATTTATATCATTCATTGCATACCATTTCATATCAACATATTATATATATTTACTCGTAATTAGGTTATATCCTGTATATTATTAATTAATGATGCAAATCATAGATAAAGGGCTTTTCTATATGAAATGATTATATCATAGATAAAGGGCTTTTCTATATGAAATGATTATTATGTCTTTAAATTAAAGTAAAAATATAATAATATTTCTTCAATTAATAATTTGTCTGACTCTCTGAAGAAAGAGAAAACTTCACTAGGACACATTCTAATTCTATTAAATGTATTGGAATTAATATATCCATCATTAAGAATACATTAATTGAACGATGCAAATTTCTTTGTGATAAATAATAATTATAAATATACAATCATTGTGCTTAAAAATAACATTAAATTACAAATATTATAGACTATGGAAAGATATTAAAATTCTATTGATCAGTTAAGTGTGAAATATATGTTTAACAATAAAATGATTTAATTTCAAATGATTTTATTTAATAATCTCAATAAACGATTATCCATTACGCCGTATTATTCCCTGTGCGATAAATACAATAATTTATATGTAATAATTTTTACACTCAAAGAAAACAAAGTAATTAATTTCATGTCACCAGAGCACAAAGATAATATTAACATTTTTCGTAATCTCGGATATCGCAATCTGCATGCAAATGTTGGAGGCGTGAAATGCGATATCGTCGAGATAATTTATCTATTGCATGCGATAATGTATCCTATAGAGATATAGCTTTATATTTTTCGTATTATATATAATATCTCTTTATACGGATTTGCTTGCAAATGAGATAATGTCACGATTCTTCCTTTTATAGTAACATCATGTAAACATATAATAAAATAAATTAGAATTAACTTAAATAATAAATTAAAATATATATATTTATATTATATTTTTAATTCATTCTTTGTTTATATACATTTAACCAATAAACATTTTTATTATATTCTAATTATTACTCTAATTTACGTCTCACTGAATGACGTAAATAAAGAGATATCGTTGTAAATTCATTTACGAGAGTATAACCTATTGTAAAACATTACACGTGTCTTCCTTGAAAACATTTTCGTCGAGCGTAATTGGATTTTAATTTCTTTATTTTCCTCGGAGAAAAATTATTTTCTTCTAAGGAAGATATGATCTTAAAAACATTCGATTTGCGGTAATAACCTCTAATGAATTATGTATAAAAGACACTTATTTAATTGCTTTATATATTAATATGTACAATTTTTATCTGTGCAATCTTTCAAAATTCAATTGATCTTTTCTTTTATTTACTTGATACAATTATCTCGCGATATTGAAGATAAAATACTATCTGTTCATATTATTGTTACAGTCGTGATATTTTTAATTAATTGATGATATTTTTAATTAATTGGATTTCGCATTCAAGACGAGAGAGATACAACAAAGAGATATAGAAGAAGAGACAACTTCGCGCAATGCACGAATGCTTGTGTATATTAAGCGAATGTTAATTAACAAGACTGGATAATATGCATGCTGATGTCTTGGTAAAGTTTCATTGATATAATAAATTGACGCGTACGAACACACAGCTCAATGTTCGCTTGTATGTTCAATCTGTATTTCTGTATGTCATACGCTATTATTTGCAGTCGACTTTGCACTCGCAGTCTGTATTCAAGTGCATCGCGGTAATCTAGGACAAGCATAACAGCGTCGAAGCGTTTGCGAATGCTAAAGCCGAGATAAACAGTCGACACTTCAAAGCAGGAACCGCTGGTGGAAATGAGGAGTGTAATTGGTAATAAGAATAAAAACAAAGGAAATGAAGTGAAGTGAATTGATGGAGTCTCGGAGGCTGATGCTTCAAACGAAGCGAGTCATCAGCTTAGCAGATAGATGGTCACGTTGCATTGAATGTACAAATATCCTCGATGGGCTTTATTCGCGAAATCGCGAGCAAAATATTGTGAAAGCACCGGAGAATGATATGGCTCGTTTTCCTTCGATAAACTTATCATCCTCGAGTACAAATCACTCCAGACCCTGTGACACTATTATCAAGAGGAATACGAATGATGATAGTCCATTCCAACATAATGACAATGTTCGATAATTTAAAAATAGTCGTAAATTAATTTGACAGAGATAAATTGATTACGTATCTACGTAGGAGAAACAAATGCGTGCTCTGTTTAATTAGCAATTTTGTGTTAATTTTGTTTTTCAATGTGTATGAAACATTTTAAAATTTTCTCTTTCGTTCAAAATATTTCATTGTAACTTGAAATATAGATAGTCACATTTTATGCATCAAACAAACATTTTACGTATTAATATAACCTTTGGCGCGATTTAAATTTCCATTGAATTTATGCGCTTTTAAATTATATAAGGCAAACGTACACAGAAGTGAATGCAATTATAATAATGTTTCCACTTATCGTCTGTTTCATCATTCTTAGATAAATACTTGTCGTCTTTCATTTTACATTTCTTACATTTTTTAAAATATGATTAAATTCGCCGCAAATATGTAAGACAAATATTTAAAAATCTTGGGGATAAAAAAATTAAGAAATTCGAATATTGAAATTTATACATTTACTTGGTATAGAAAATATATATTTATATTTTGTGCACAGAGCATGTAATTAATTAGAAAAATTAATGCTATATAAATATCAAGTTATATTTTATAATTTAAAAAATGAATAAAATTTTTATTAAACTACAAAAAAATAAAAAGATACAAAAATTAGAATAAAGAAACTATATAATATAAATAATATAAATAATATAATTAACAAAAATAATAATATAAATAACAAAGAATTATCGATAACTACTTGAATTCATTAATTGCACTGTAGTTTGCAAAAACAAACTCTAGAATCTAGATATCAGAATAATTCCCCGAGGCAAGGAAATGATTCTCTTCTCCCCAAGCATTACTATTCTCATAAGAATTATTGACATTTTATCGAGTTAATTATAATTATTTTATCGGTTAATATTTTTCATCGGATGGATTAGTTATGCTTCCTCGAGAGATTTGCTGCTGCAATATGAAAATCTGCAAAAACATTTACCCTTTAAACCATTTGCCTTTCAAAATATCAGAAAGCATATTTTCTTGTAAAATTCAAACAGACAAATTTGCATATTTAATTTGATATTTTTCTCTCTTAGAGTTAAATAGAGATATAAATGCATAGCGTGACAAGAAGACAAGGTCACGTTTTATAAAAATAATGAGATGGCGAGAGCGGACACTTACCTTTCTCAGTTACTAAATAAATATATAAATATAATCCACTGCGGGGAATGATGGCGTCGCAAACTCGAATGATATTTCGGCCGTAAATGAACGTCGTAAAAAGGAAAAGGACCGGCCGATGCGCAGGCTACAGCAACAGCTGACTCTAAAAAGAAAAAGAGAAACTCGTCGTTGTTTGCTCTTCGTCGAAAGGAAAAGGTATCTGAAAAAAATGGGGAATCCTACTGATTCCCGAATGGTATCTAAAGGTATCGTATCGGCGCGCCAGCGCTGAATTTGCCGGATGGAGGAACGGCCGGCGTCCTTCGGCGCGTCGCGGCGTCGGCAGTCGTGATTCGACCGGCGTCCGCAGCGGCAGGTAGACTATCCGCTCCTCCAAAGTGTGAACAAAACTCCCTCACTCGAGGAAAACAAACCGTTAAAGATACACGCGAAATTGTCCCCCAGTGAGACTATCACGTGTTTGCGCGCGTGAATGGGAAGCCTGAATAAAAAAGCTTCGTCGATATAAAAATTAAACAACAGAAGTGATATTTAATTTAAAAAATTGCGCTATGGCGTTTCTGTTTTTGTTGAGCGAATTTCGTGAAGCACTTTGCGACTTCGAGCCTCAATATATATAACGAAATAAATGATAACGAGTTATCAATCGAACAAACTTCCCAAAGACACGAGATCTAGAGAATCTAATAACTTTGACATATAAGAAGAAATCTATATGTAATTTCCTTCAGCAGTCCTCCTCGGAGATTGATTCTGGCGTAAATCAAATAGAGATCAAGTTTCCCTCGCTTTTGTTATTTGTGAGAAGACGAATTTACCCCGAAGACAAAAAAAGAGAAAACAGAGGAAAACTTGAGAACTTTTATCACTGAAGAAGAAGAATAGGTGGAACCTAACGGCGCACGAAATCAATGAAAATTCCATTTATCTCTCTCGTATGAGACCAACTGGCCGTCGACGAAAAAGACGAAAGAAATTTGCAACACTTTCGTCGCGAATTATCGGCAAAGAAACGGGATCGCATTCAAGAATGTCAAGGAACGAAGGCATTTTCGTGCGCGTCATATAATCGGGATCAGGATGGCTCCAACGTCGATCCTCTCAGACGGCGTCTACGCCAAGGCCAACTTTAATGATGGCCTGGCATTATCGGAGCGAAACATATTTAACGACACGCACGAATTCTCCGCCGTATCATTCGGTCCGTATCGAGATTCCCTCTACGTGGTGATACCGATGACCATAATCTACGCGTCCATCTTTCTCACGGGCATCGTCGGCAATGTTAGCACGTGCATCGTGATTGCGCGCAACAAGTCCATGCACACCGCAACAAACTATTATCTCTTCAGTCTGGCCGTGTCCGACCTGTTGCTACTCGTGTCGGGCCTGCCAGCGGAGGTGTACATGGTCTGGTGCAAATACCCGTACATCTTCGGGGAGGATTTCTGCGTATTGCGCGGCCTCGCCTCGGAGACATCGGTGAACGCATCCGTACTCACCATCACCGCCTTCACCGTCGAGAGATACGTGGCGATCTGCCATCCGTTTCTCTCGCAGACTCTGTCGAATCTGTCCCGCGTGATCAAGCTGATCCTCGCGATATGGCTGATGGCCTTGGTATGCGCGCTACCCCTGGCGTTGCAATTTGGCGTGGTCCAACATAGCGACCACCCCGACATGATCGTGTGCACGGTCAAGAGAATCATTATCGATCACTCATTCGAACTGTCCACGTTCCTGTTTTTCGTGTTGCCCATGTGCCTCATCACGTTTCTCTACGTGTTGATCGGCCTCAAGCTCAGAAAGTCGAACATGACTGTCCCAGGCAGAACCGAGTCGAACATGAAAAATTGCAGACATCCTGGGAGATCGTCCAGGAGGGTGTTGAAGATGCTAGGTAAGTTTCTGTGAGGATCTCTCTTCATCCTATTTTCATCGCAGCGATAAGTAAATTATTTGTTTTAAGGATGTTTTGTACCTATTTTTAAAATATTGAGAATTTAATGAAAATTGTACAGAATGTCCTTACATATGTTTAGAATCTTCAGTACAATTTTTAAATCGATTCACTAAAGCGTTCACAAGTTATAAGGATTTTAATTTGCACCGAATTAACATGTGTTCTTATGGGAAACGTATAACCATGTCGATTCAAATGACAAAAACACATGGAAATAATATTCAGAATTTATTTAAAATTTGCAAAAGTTTAGATACAGAGGAAATATTTGGTCAAATAATATTATACAAGTACTAACTGGTTAAAAAAATATTAAATATAATTCAATGAAGTTAGCCATGTATCTGTCACAAGGCGAAATTCTCTGCCAAAAGTTAATCATTTCGATTAATAAAATTCGGAATATTTCAGTAAAAACACAATAAATATTAAAAAATACATCTCTGCACTGTAGATCAAATTATAATATTACACACAATTTCTCATACTCAAAATACACCAAAAGTGAATATTCGTCAATATTGATTTTCAGCTACTTTTTGCTGGGATTGTACATACAAAACATCCTTAAATTTCATTATTAATAAATTTAATTTCAAATTCAAGTATCGACTTGAATGCATTTGAGCTAAACCTTCGTTGTTCCCTTGGATAAACGACCAAACAGTTGGAAAATGAATCGACAACATACAACATCCTTGACTACGCAATTAAATAAGGATACGAACAATTGATAGTTTGCACGATAAATGTTGAAATTATTCTATAAATCTCTCTCTCTCTCTCTCTCTCTCTCTCTCTCTCTCTCTCTTTCATTTTGTTTTGAGATATAAATACATTTAATGATTCAGCAAACAAATTACTATAGTATTGCGATGCCGCTCTGCGCTTAACTACGATCATAACGATCGCATGCAGTCGCTTTAAAAAATTCGCATTAGTATCTCATGATAAATATCAACGTGTCATAAAAGCGGTTATCTAATAAATAGCTCAGAAATAAACAACAGACTGTCATTAAATTCATTAATCAATAAAGGCAAACATTAAATATTCACCAAAGAAAATCCTGCAAGAAGATATTCCTGCAATACAGGAATAATTACATACAAAAAAGATTGCCTAAGAAGCTAAAGAAGCAATTTAAAAAAATTTAAATTGCTTTTTAAAAAAATATCAGTCACTAAATAGGTTTCGAAATGAACTACACATGTCTAAACAAGTACATAACGAGGCGTAATATTATGTTATGTAACACGTATCACCATCAAGAACAGACAGGAGAAACTGTTTTACTTATGCGAGTTTAATTCAGCGTTTTAAATATGTATGCTTACTTTTCACCGTTAAAATTTTCATTAGAAATTTTAGATAGGATATTAAACTTTGTAATGAATTGTTGATATAAATGCTAAATAATCAATGTTAAAGATATGCTATAAATATTCGTTTTTTATGCAATGCAAAATATTATGCAAACGAGAAATTATCATGCATAATAGTTTTATATTATAATATTGCGTATGTGCAGCACTCGTTGTTCGCATTCCAGTCGATTGAATTGGACTTGAGACAAAATTTACGATGTATGATATGCGAGTTGCGTAAAATCGAAAATTTCCAATTCTACACTTGTGACTTTTTAATTTTGCAAAACGAAACAAAATATCTGTGAATGGATTATTTTTTCATTGCCATCAACGCGTTAACTAAAATCAATAATAAAATTACAAACACACACACACATACATTTTTTAATATTATTCTCGCAATTCAGCATGAATCGATAAATTTAACATGTAAATTTCGCGCGTAAAAATCACATATATATAATTAGATCACAATGATAATCGTTTCATTATGGATATGATAACTGTACTATAGTTGAACAAACACTGCCCGCATTTATTTTGCATGATGCACAGATGCATCTGCATATATTTACAGTTTTATGTACTCTGTATTATATTGTCTTTTCCGAGTAAGCAGAGAAAGTCTATCTCTACATCGAATGTGTAAACTCGAAACAAGAATCTATGGCGTCAGTTATTTTTACATTGGTCGATACTTTTTTATTGGATGCTTGGTTGTCCTATAATTCTACATTTCATCAGAATTGCATATATCAGAAAAAGAAAAGAGACAGCAAAAGTTCGAAAACAAATAAACTCCGTTTGATCAATAATAAGATAATAAGCATTTTTTAAATGTTTATTTCTATGATTTTTCCTAAATAGTATTTTGTATACATTGAAACTTTTATTACATATGTCAGCTTCAATGGCTAAATATAAAATCTTTGTGTAATTCAGTGCTGGTTCATTCTCACTCTTTGTCTTTCTTTAAAATGGTAGAAGTCTATTTACGTACAGTGCTATAGAATTCGTACTTATTATGTTATATACATATATCTTTAAAAAAATAATAATGTGCTCGTGCTTTCATGTCTCTAAAAGATGTATTCGTTTGTCGCTATACAATATTTTTTATTATTAAATGCTATTTGTTTATACTTAGAGACGTGTTGCTTTAATATAAAAATCAAAATTAAAATATTACAAAAATCTGATCTTTTTATCGGAGAAACTAGAATCTTTTGTCGCTTTTTTTTCTCTTTCTCTCTCTTTCTGTCTCTTTCTCCTTGCACCTACAACATTCTCTATTATTAAATACTATTTATACTTAGAGACATGTTGCTTTAATATAAAAATCAAAATTAAAATATTGCAAAAATCTGATCTTTTTATCGCTTTCTTTCTCTTTCTCTCTCTTTCTGTCTCTTTCTCCTTGCACCTATAGATACATTTTTATTTTTAAATTAAAATTAAATATTATAATAAAATCAAAAAATTGAATAAAAGGCTTAAAGAACCAGCACAATGATGAAAAGATGCGAAAAAAACGGTTATATTAATGTAATAAATCTAATAAAACGTTTATTTGAATTAAGTGACAAACGCTGCGTTTCGGATCCTTTTCAATGTCAAATCGCGAAATAACAGTAAAAACATAAAAATAAAATAAAATACAATCAAATTAACAGTCATTAGTAATAATAAACGGGAAGACGTAAAACAAAATAAATAATAATAAAAGAGTCAAAAAAGTCGAAATAAATTAACGCAAAATAACGGACGAATTCAAACGAACAAAGAAGCGCAACGCATTGATAAGCAAACCCATAATTACAAATCTCCGTGTGCCATGAAAAATCTGCTCCCGCTGCTCCCCTCGATGACACATGCCGAAAGGAAAAAAATACAAACAGGCCCACATACATCTCAATAAAAACCGTCAAAGATGCATAAGTCGATGACCAGCCGAAAATGCAGTGAGGCCTGATGTGCATTGATTAAAACCTTGATTATGGTGGCATTCTACAAAAGAGAAAGACAAAAAAATAGACTCCCTAATAAATAGCATAGAAAACACTCCGAAAACTGATACGGGAATCAGATTATCAAAAATTAAAAATTAAAACATTTTTGATTTTATCTTATGGACCTTTATTTAATTATATTTATTATAAAATAAAATATTATAAATAGTATAATAACAAAATATTATAATTTTACATACATGATATGTTCCTTCCATGTATAGGAAATTAACATTCATAGCAATGCTCCTTAGGATAGGGATAGCGACACGGCGCCTTTACGGCCGCAAGGCGCCATCGTGAGCAATCTGCAGAACTTAAAGGTCACATCTTCTCACAGAATCCAGCACGATGCTTCGAGGCATCTTCAAAGCGAGTAAACATTTCACCGAATATGTCATCTTAAAATACATTTATTTACGCACAACTTACTTTGAACGCAGAAACGCGTCATATCAAATCAGTCACATCATATCAGTCTTACGTCTTGTCCGTCGTTCGGATATAATGGAATTCTTCTTGTCTTTTTCACGTATTCTTTTCAAATATCATCGTATTTTCAATTCCTTTTTACAAAAAGTTCTTCTTCCGCTCTGATCCACGGCGCGTGATCCGATTATATTTCTCAAAATGTTTATTCAATTTAACGTTTCAGCAAAGTTCTCGAATTGTTCGACCGTTGGAAAATTCCGTGGACTAGTAGTCGACACGTGTATCTATGCAATGTCTGCGTCACTTTAATGTTACCTTGAGTGTCCTTTAATCATCTCAACTTTTATTCATCAAATCCGAAAAAGTAAAGCAATCAACATGACAAATCCGTCGTAATCGCATGTAAGTATAAAACGTACAATACATGTGTAAGCGGAAAAATGAGGACAAATTTAATTCTTCTTTACTATAATGTGAACCAATGATTCTGGGAAACTGCGTCAGCCATAGAAAATAGAAGTAAGCTAGAAAATTGGAGTAATCGCTGGATTTATTTTTAAAATGCTTTAAAAAATATGAACGAAATATTATGACAAGCTGAAAAATTTCGAGATTTTATTATTCAAAGAAATAATTTTCTATAAAAATCTTACAGAGCTCTTCTACTTGTTAATAATAAATTTTGCATATTCTCGCATTTTTTAATTTTCCATTATTCCTCATATTTTTAATATTTCATACCCATTTGAAATTTAATCGCGGTAAAATGATATCTGTAATAAGATAATGAATACATTAGTCTTATCAATTGCATATCTTTGAATATAGCCTTTGAACGTAGCCTTTTCATTAGGGAAGTAACGTAATTTTATACATTTATAAGTACATTTTATACATATACATATATCTTCCTATAATCACAAATTGTCATTCAGTCATGACTGATAAAATACTGTCTGACAGACATGGTCAATTCTTAATCATCGAATAAAGACACATACTGAGAGAAAGAAATTATATTTTATCGATATAGGATCGAAAGTTTTACGCACTCAATTAACTTTTTTATTCCGTCGTTTATCATGAGAGGAATTTCTTCTTTGATAAAGTCTGATAAAAGGTAACG